CCCCCCCCCCCCCCCAGACCACCGTCAGCCCCCATTCCCCTCTCCTCGGGTGGAGGGGGGGTGACACATGTCCTGCTTTCCCCCTCCCCGCACCGAAACTGACCTGTTGCAGAAGGGCGGGACGGGGAGGGGGCTCCCCCCTTCACCCCCACTCAGCCACCTTCATCCTCTCTTTCTCCGTCCGCTCCCCCCGCCCTCAGGCTGTCGGCCCTCTCACCGCCCCTTGTATCCCTCCGCCTCCCGGGGGGGCCCTTGTTTATTCCCGGGAGGGGGAAATAACCCGGCTCGTCTTCTCCGTCCCAGGCTTAACCGTACACGAGTTGCGAGAGGCTTATTTTAACGCCCACCCCCCAAAAAAATAAAGGAATCCCAGTCCCAAGTATAGCGGAGGAACTATTTTTACAGGCCGAGGCGGAAGGATCCTCCACGCGGGTAGCGACACACGCAGAGCATGATGGGGGTCGTAGTTCTCCGGTTGGGTTTTTCTAATTATTATTATTACTTGCGCCCCCTTCCCTTTCCTTTTTTTTTTTCCTTTTTGTCCTCCGCGCTTACCCGACTCCGAAGCAGGCAGGAGCTGATTGGATGGGAAGGGAAGGCCACGCCTCTCAGCTCGTCTGGAGAATAAGAGACAGAATGAGAAAGAGATTGGAGGCGCGTGCGCCGTTCGCCTTCACGCTCTCTCCCCACCCCCGACCCCCACCCCCGGCGCTTTCTACCTCCCTAAGCCCCTCCCACCGCCACCCCACCCCTCCGGGCGCGAGCCGAGGCGGTTGGCGGCGCGCGCAGCCGGCGGCGCGAGTGGGCGTGGCCGCGCTCGAGGAGCGCTGCCTCTTTGGCAGGCCGCCGGTTCTTCGCCCGCTAACGAGCGAGCGAGGCAGCCAGCCAGCCAGCCAGCCAGCCAGCCAGCGGCCGGGCGGGAGCCGAGTCCTTCCAGCGGGGAAGGAACGGCGGCGGAGCGCTCGGCGCCCACGGAGAGCCGCCCTCCGCCGCCCAGGACCCGTCACAGGTCAGCCTGGGTGCTTTTCCCCTCACTTTCCCCAAAGTTTTACCTCAAGCGGGAGGGAAAAACAGGCCCGTGAGGGCGAGAAGGAGCGGCGGGGAAGCCGCTTTGTTTCGCTCCGGGACGGACGGGGATGGGGGGGGGGGGGGGGGTTGTTAGGACGCGAGAAATATGCCTCCAGCCCCATATGGTTGCAGAACCCGCCACCACCTCAGCCAGACTTCCCCCTCTCCGAAATGGGTGGGGGGGAGGAGGACCCGACTTTTGCTTTTTCCATCCCAATAACATTATTTTATTGTGGCCTCCGGCTGTTGAGGGGGGATGAAAAGGGGAAAGAGGATAAAAGGTTGCTTCTCCCGATTTTATTCTTCAATGCCGTTGCCCACTTAAAAAAAAAAAAAGCTGCAGAACTTTTTTAAACTTATTATCTCCTCTATAATCTTTATTATATCTATTTATGTATAGGTTATAAGGTCCTTGGAGTGAATGGGCTTCATCCATCCTTGCTGTGAAGTTGTTCTGGGGACTGCCTCTTAATTGTTCTTTAAGAAGTTGCTGGGGGGTTTTTTTAGTCTGCTGCTTTTGGCAGCAAAGGTTCTTCAGAGGATGCTTTGATTTCCCAAGGATGGAAGCTATTATGGTACAGATAAAGGAGAAATAGCTCGGTTCTCTCTGAGCTTAGTAGTTTGGTTGCAGACTTTTCATGATCAGACTAGGTAACATCATCAGTGCTAGAACGGAGGGGGGTTGTGGAGAAGAGGAGGAAAAGTGGGGGGTGGAAGGACTGTGGAGCTTGGTTGTTTCCTTGCAGATCTTTCTTTATCTCGGTTTAACACTGACAGGGCAAGCAACTAGAATACAAACTGAGAGCAAACCCTCCTGTCTTCTAGCACTGATGATGTTACCTAGTTTGGGTAAGGAAATGTCTGCAAACGTCTGAACTTGGTTAAGTTCAGAGAGCACCAAACACTCCTCAGCGGTTCTGGGGACTGCCGCATACCTGCCTAAGGGACCAAAAGGGAAGCCAAGATTGTTTTAGAGCAGCAAGTGTTTTGTTTTGTTTTGTTGTTTACATTTTACTATTTTACATCCAATGTTGTGCTCAGAATTTGGGGAAAGAAAGCAAGATCCAGCCAGCATTTAGAGAAACATTCGCTTCCTCTTGGATTTATCTGTATAATTTTTATTTGTATCCTGCCTTTATCAGTTTTTACAAATAAGGCAGTGAATATATCCAACACATCTTCAAGAACAACAAGAACAACTCTAGGGGGTGGAGTGGGCTGAGAAACTGACTGGCCCAAGGTCACCCAACTGGCTTTCATGACTAAAGTGGGATTAGAAGCCAGGGATCCTCTGTTTTTCAGCTCATGCCTTAACCACTACATCAATCTGGAATCTCTGGTGGAGGTCTTATTCAGTTATGTACTTAATATATAGCAAACAATTGTTTGCTTTAGTCCCCCTTTCAATAAGGAGATAACATCGATCTGATATAATGATTAATACTGTACGCATTTTTGCCAATGTTTACAGTGCTGCAAAGTTATGTAAATATTAAATAATTTTATAGAAAATTAGAAGAGTATAATTCTTAGAGTTATACAAGAGTTTAAAATGTGATTGCAAAACTTAGAATTTTTCTTCTTTAAGAGCTCCCTCCTTCCCCTAGCAGTTTCCATTGTGCTTCCTAGGATCAAATCAGAGTACTTTTTATATTATATTATTATACGCATATAACAATTGTGCTTTGTTTTTTAAGGCTTTCTTAATTACTTATAGAAAGCAGACAGGTTCTCACATGTTAAGAATGTGCTTTTTCTGCTTGTTTTGAATTATTTTATAGTGAAATGCATTGCATTATAAGAACATAGAAGACATAATTGATGGACAATGAGAACTAAGGAAACAAGTTTTTTATGCAGGCCTTTATATCTGCATAACTCATTTTCATAATTTTGACCATAGGAATTTTCAGAAAGCAATAAGATGTTTCTATTGGCTTAAGGAAGTGAATGTTTTCCAAAACAAGCCTAATTTAAATGCTGCACAAAGCTAAAACAATTGTATTGAGCTAGTTTTATTTTGAAAATCTGACACCCCTTTGTTAATTTATATGACAAATTACATTACTTTTGAAAGGCTCAATATAGTTCAGTATTAAATTTTGCGCCAATAGATTGTTTCTGCTGAAAATATTAATTAAATAATTTTTAAAAATAGAAAACTGCTAATGACTTAAACAGATCAGCAATAGTCCTAGTAAAAGTTTGATCCTTTTTTCAGTTCTCAAATATGTTGGAAAAGAGTGACCCACAAAGTTTATTTTCTGTAATAATTTTCCATTCATTTTATGGTGAGTTTTTATTATAGAAGTAGCCAAATATGTTGTTTTCTCAAATTATTTATTAACTACTATAATATTATTTGAAAGATACTTTACTGCTGACTTAGAATGACACTTTTGAAAACTTAGGAGAATATTTTGTGGATTTTGTTAAGGTATTTTTATATATTGAGTATAGTACTATAAGTTTCTTGATGTGTAACTTTTAAGAATGTTAACTCTAGTGTAAGTTTAATTTAATTATGTTAGCTTTATTTTAAAGTTAATATGTAGAGGACTGAATTATACATTTTTATTTCAGTTTGTTTTGTTTTTATTTCAGTATCTAGCGTAAAGTTAAAGGTTCTGTGTAGAACATTTATATAGAGTATAACCAGACTACTGTTTTGAAAGCTGAGTAATTCAACACAAATAACTTTCATGTTAGTATTTAAAAATTGCAAAAAAAATTAAGCATGCTTAACTCTGAGTATGATATAGCCAAGTAAGCACATAAAACAATTTATATGCACTTTATTTCAATGGTGCACATTCTTAAGTTTCTTTAATTGAAATGAGTGTGTCTTAAGCAGACAACCCATTGTACTATACCATTGCATTTATACTTTCAAAAGATACATAATTTGCAGAATTGGGACAACAGTACAAGATAAGTGTGTTAAAAGTAGAGTGTGCTACATTTTATCTAAAATACAATACTACCAAATGAGAGAAAACAATAGTTGCTTATCTTCATAATCTTGGTTGGAAATGATGGCATAGTAAGAGCCCTTCTTGTGTCTTTAACGTAAAATGTTAGTAAAAATCTCTATTTGAAACTGTGAAGATAGGTTATTTGAAACAAAGCATTAAGTAATGACTTTTCCATGGATGTATCTATATTTATAAATAATGTACAAAATTTAAAATACTGTTGGCCAATGTTCTATGCCAGTATCTGCATAGAATTTCTTCTAAGGTTGGTGTATCTCTGCTCAAAGAAATAAATAGGACATGCTATAACAAGAAATGTTTTTCTGTAGCTTTTAAAGCATCCATTCTTACCATTAAACATTGTTAGTAACAGTTGCCATGCAAATGTTCTGTTGGAGCATTGCGGATTTAAGATGAAAATTCTGAATGGTTAGATACAGTCTTCATCCTTAAGAGATGTGTGGTAAGTTAATGTCCCATCCTTCGTCACTAAAGCTATGTTTATGTAATGTGAGAAATAATTCAATGATTTCTTATGTCTATACAGCTTTTTAAAAGGATACTTGCATAATCAGTATGTTGCAGTTCATGATGTAATGCTGAAGCTGTGGGATATTTTATATGTAAACATTGTTTCATACATTGTGATAGGATTGCATTTTTATTTACATTTTGTAGGACAGATTTGTTTAATTTGTTGACCTTTGCCATGAAAATAATATACAATCTATGGAATAAAGTGGTACACTGATATGTTCTTAATAAGAAGCATGAGAGCTTTGTCACAATATCTTCAATATTTGCTTATATATAAAAGTCTATTACTACTAAATAATGTTAATATGACTTCCCTGACTCAGATGTTTTTGTCAGGAAATGCATAATTATGATGGAATAAAATGCTAAAATAAGGGAAGAATGTATGGGAGCTAAGCAGCACTTCCATTCAAAATGTCCCCCCCCCCCCCCAATGCTGTATTTCCTGTAGACAGATTTTTATCCAGTCATTTCTCATTGCAAACTGGAATTCAAGCTTATCATGCTGGCTTTTCATAAGGCTTGGGCCTAAAAGCCCTAGGTATATGTTAGTTAGGCCTACTTCGTAGTTAATTTGGTCATAATGGGTGCTTTATTCTTGGCTGAGATGCTTTTTAATATTTGTATTATTTTAATTCTTTACTTTTTAAAAATTTTGTCTGGCGCCCATAGTAATTTGGTAAGATGGGCAGCAGTATTAAACATTTTTGCATTGTGTACTAGATACATCAGTCAAAGTTGATTAAGTGAATGAATAATCAATGTAAAATAATATTTCAATAAAGAATACTTAGATAGGGAATACTGCATTATAATTCACCTCACGGTGTCATTGATAGTTGCTTTTTTATTTCAAATGAACTGCTAGCAAAAATTAATTGGAAATAACCTATTAAAAATGTAAGAAATAGCACGAGGGCAGTCTCTTAAAGTCACAAAATCATAATGCTGCTACATTTTGGAGCATTCCAGTAATTAATGCAACAATAGTTAGATGCCACTGAATTAGGCCTGACTTACTGATGACTATATATGCAAATGTTCCACATCCAACCTGTTCCCAATGACAGCCTGTGGCTTTTTCAGCAATAGTTCAGTGATATCCTTGCTGCTCTTCATCAGTTTTTTCCATTGTCATCCCCTTTTGTTCCCCTGAGCCAAGCTAAGCCTAGTCATTGTTGTAGACGATTATCACTCCCACCCAAAATAAGTGAATATCTTATTGGTAGTCATGTTCTGAAAATTGCCCACCCCAGTCTAACCCTTGCAATTAAAATGTCATTTTAGACAAAGTTTGAAATTTTCTTCAAAAATGAACTTAAAAGATTCAGTACTTAAGAATATATTATTTGACATTATAGAAGAAAATTACAGATAATGATAATATATCTGTTTATTATTTCTTGTTTTGTCTGCACAGGGGAGAAATGATCTTGGTAATCTATAAATAAGAAAAGTAAATGCTACAAAGGATTCGTGGTGATCCCTGAAATTCAGAGGCCAACTGAAAACCAGTGCTAATATATGCACAATTTTGTGCCACATATTCAGGTACAGTTAAGATTATTGTATATTTATTTGTCTTGAATGTCACTGCATGATTTTAATATTTGGCTCAGAAACAAACAGGGAAACAATTCCATACAATAACCACTGGATTTCCAGATATGTTGTTTATAAATATATTTAAAACCTATTGGAAGATTTTAGAAGGAAGTAGACTTCCCACCGTGGTATTATCTGTAAATGCCAAAATATTGATTTGTTGGAGAACCAGCTTTAAAGAATCCTGAAGTTCCAGAGAAATGGATCAAGATTGGAGCCTCATTGAAAATTAAAATGGAATAGTTTCAGTCCTACTAGCTTCATGCCAGAGAAATGAAAGTCTAATTCGGATTACTGCACTTGTTCCCTGGGTTGTCCAACAGAAAATCATAATGGAAAGAAAAAAGGAGCTGTAACGATAGAAAATCCCTGGTGCCTTCCCATAATACTAATACTGTAATGAGGCAGACACTCTACTGTGCTTAGTGTTATTTTGTGCCATTCATTAAATTGAGGATGCAAATATTGCTACAAAATTGTATTAAAATGATGAAATTATATAAAAGAATAGGTCATGCTTACAGGGTATTTTTTTCACAGATCCTACACAGTGTTTCATTATTTTAAATAAATTATTCATGGGCGGCTAAATGCTTCATAAACATGAACTTAACGTTAATGGAATAGAAATTCCCACAGCATTATGTCCATTTCCAATAGAGCCAGGGCTAACGAGTCTCCTACTTCTTCTAAGAGGTACTGATTTATTTGGTTATTGTGGAAGTTGCTTAGTGGGAATCTTCCGCTTTTGTCTTTGATATGGTTGGCACTAGTACAGGTAGTCCTCATTTATGCAATTGGGATTGGCTAAGTGATGTCATTAAGTGAAAGCCATGTGACTTTCCAGCTGTGGTCATTAAATGAATCATCCTGTGTCATGTAGCACAACTTCCTGTAATCGTGAGTTGTGACTTCTGACCAGCTTCCCCATTGACCTTATTGGAAACTAGCTGTGAAGTTGCTAAATGGCAATTGTGACTGTGAAATGTTGCAATCATCATAAATGTGTGCTAGTTGCCAACCACCCAAATCACAGTCATGGGGGTGCTTTGACCACCACAACCTTGAGGACTGGTCCAAAGTGTCCCTTTTCAGCATCATTACAACTTTCAACAGTTGTTGTGAATGAGTAGTCAGTAAGCAAGGACTACCTTCTTGAAGCATTTCAGATAAAATCAGCTAGAAATAATTAAGTGATGAACATGTTCTGTCAACAACCACCTAGAGTTGCTAGGAGTTGCAGAGGGAGGATATAAATATTGTGTTATAATGTGGAAACTTTAAAACTATATGAAATGCAATCAATCTTTTACCTATGTTTTATTATCTGTAAATCAAGCAGGATAAATTGTAGACAACTCTGGTAACAACTATATAATGCATGTAAAAATAATGTTGAATCATTTAATCCTTCTATAAAGCTTTTAGAAAACATGTGTTGGAGGGATGTAGTTTTTGCTGGCTGACATATTTGGATTTTGTCCAGATTAGGTGCATTTTATTAAAACAAAGGAAATGATTTCAGACAATTCTCTTGGCTGAGCAAGGCTACTATAAAAATAGTTGCTAGCTGTCATTTAAGTGCTAGATGATGCTGCATGGGAAGATTTCCTCCTAGCATGGGAAGGGTCAGGAGTACCATGTGGGCAGCACTTTCTCAGATGACTAAAAAGCTCTACAGTTTGGACAGGAAATGGTAAAAAGCCACTATTTAAATTATTTTCTACTTGAGAACTACCGGAGGGTATTGTATGAAAATACTTTAGATGCATTTTACTACGGTAGGTGGGTTCTATGCTTGCAATAACATTTTTTCCACTTGACTCATAGAGAGAAACTAAGCTTCTAAATCTATATTTGGTAATAATATATACTTTTATCAGAAAGGATAAAAGGATAAAAAAAATTAAGAGTGATGAATTTCTATCATCAGATCCAGCTATACTTAAATCCTTAGTAAGTAGGAAATGAAAAGATACGGAAAGTAAGCTAGAGGAGAAAGAATTTCTGTATCACAGTATAGAATTTTTTTAGGTACATTGTTTCTTAACTACTATTTTTAATTTGACTGTTGGAATGAGTACACATGATTAACACATTAGCTTTTATAAACCCTTTGTGCAAAGTAACTCCCAACCTCTGCAACAAACTTTGATTGTGTTATTATATTTATATATTGATGCAATTATAATATTAAGATATACTTCAGAAATGTTTAAAATAGCATTAAGCTATAGCAATCTCAGGAACACCCAACAGATTGTCTTCACTTTCCAACTGCCTCCTCCAGTAACTCTTCAAAGTTATAACAGTGCTGAAAAGTTTTAAACAAATGCCCACATTTACACCCTTCACAGTGCTCCTCATCACATGATTGCCATTGCCGTCTGTATGTTTTGTCCTGTGCTTTTTCTTTTTTGTCTCAGCTGGCAGAGGAGGGAGACGGAGAGGAAGGGATTACAAAAGAGCCAGCAAGCACACCACAGGGAATACACCAGGCTGATGGCACTGGCATGTTGCTTTCTTATTTCCCCACTGTGTGCCTGCTTACTCTCTTGTAATCCCTTCCTCTCCAATGAATGTAAATACAAACATTAATTCCCTCCTTGGTGATTATCCCACCATATGTGTGCCTTCCAACAGGAGAGTATGATTTCCCACTTAGCAACTGCTTTGCTTAATGACAGAACTGCTGTTTCCAATTGTCACTAATTGAGGACTACCTGTGTTAAAAAAGATCATGAAATGTAGGAGTGCCTGAAAACCCTGGGCCCTTTCAGTCTACTTCCCTTTAAATAGAATATAAACATTTAGATATGAGTGACAACTAAATGCAATTTGACTGAAGAATAATAGCAGTTAAGAAATGTCTTAAGCCCATTATATCATATGATTAATACTTTTCCTGGGTTTTCATTGACTCTTCAGAAAAAACTGCATCAGAAATATCAACAATTATACAGTATGTGTTACAGCAAGTATTTGTTAGGCCTGGCACCTCCTAACTGGTACACAGTTCCAATTTTCCTTCATATTCTCTATGACTGACACTTTAACTTTTGCTTTTAAGGCTCTGGAGTTTGCTCTGCAATTAATTCATCTTCTGTTGATTTAATTCAGTTTCCATTAAAGACGGAAAGATATTCTACAGCTGACAAAAGCGCAGTATCCATTTCCAACACTTTAATAAACAATATAAAAAGTATAAATGGAAACAGTAAAAATTATGCTAACATAATTTGTATCTAGTTACTATAGCAACTAGAAAGACAGACACAGGAAAAACAGTCTACAATATGTAGTCTGACGTTATAAATTAGGATTTATATTGGGGTTTTTTAAATTATGAAATGTTTAATAGGTTAGACAGTGGGTTCTAGGAAGAGAGAGTAAGGGAATTAAAATAACTGAAGAAGCAAAGTTGCTGAAGTTCTGGAAGAATTAGCAGGATCAGTGACCACAAGCAGAAGAATATCATAATTTTGGTGATCACAATCGGGAATATCATAAAAGGAAAGAAGAATCGGATGAGGCAATGTAGAATGATTTAAACTCAGAACAGTATTAACCTGAATTTTAAACCTTAAATTTATGGCATCCAGCATGCTAGTTGCTATTAGAAACTGCCTTATCCATCAACATTACTTCATATAGAGCAAGGATTCTCTTGGGGAAAGCAATGAGAACGATTGTGACATTTATAGAAATGTTGGTTTCTGGCTATGACTTTTGGAGTCTGACTGTGGCTTTCATGTCCTCAGCATTCTGATGAGGTGTTATTCCAGATTGAGACGCCTTTTTCCAGGAACAATATGTAAAAGTTGGGATGTATTGGATCCTGGAGTAAGGCAGAAATTTGAGGTTCCCTTTATAAAATTATGGGAGGTGTCAGTCATCAGAAAAGAAATTGAAGATGATTCTGAATATATATTTAATAGTCATCATAATAAACCTGAGATATGACTCTAGAAGAGCATAATGAGACTGCTAATCTATATAAGAAAAATACTTCTCAAACATAAGGCAAATATACAAATGTACTAGAACAAAATAGCTGTGCGAACATCTTGGCCCATTGAGAGCTTTTGGAATGTTCAGCAACAATAGAGTGCAAGAAAAATTGCATTAAGATATGCTGTAAGTATTTTAAATAGACTGATGTTCGCCTTTCTAATTGAGATCAAATGTGTTTTCCCTTATATAATGAAATGTTCACATTGAACCAGTAATATAATAACTTTGTACATGTAGCATTAGTTCTTGTCTCTTCCAATCTCTCACACCTATTTTCTTTTTGGTTTTCTGCCTGTGAGTAGTATTCTTCTATTGACTTTATTCTAAAATGCACTTAAACATTTTTTAATTTAATTTTATTTAATCAGAAGGAAAATAGCATTAATATCAATCCACAGTGGATAGAGTGAAAGTAATAAATTTCCAGATTCTTTTTCAACTGCATCTTAAACTAAACCTCTCTCAACCCCACCCAGTGAATCACATGTGCATATATGGGTAACTGGAATAACACTATGCTGATGAAATGGGGTGTAGTTTATGAAATGTAATACTGAATTCAATTTGTTTTTAATAAACATGAAAGATTTTCTTTTTGTGAGCATGGAATGCACTTTTTCTATGCCGGTATATGCTAACCTTATTTAGGTGTTCAAAATAGTCAATGTGTCAGAAAATATCTGACATCTATTCAGACTATTATACAAGACCAAGGGGAAGGCAAAGTTCATATAAAATGGTTATATCCACAATGTAGTATAGGTGGTCCTCACTGTGTTTAGTGTTTAGCCTTGTTTAGTGGACATTCATAGTTACAAAGATGATGAAAAAAGTAATTATGCCCATCCTCGCATTTACAACCTTTGCAGATCCTAAGATCCTAAGTATAGTTGTAAATGATTTTCATACAGCTCTGGGTAATGTCATTGTTGCAAAAGCTTCATGTATTGCTAAATAAGTCCATAAATCATGTGGGGCTCAAATTAAAAATTAAGAAAAGATGTTTAAAGATATTTATTATACAGTTCCCTTTTGTTATTTGCATGTACTTGTTGTGTTTTTCTAACATGAAAGATTTTTTTTCCTAGAGTCCAAATCTTAATTGATCCTTCTGTAATTTTGATCTGATAATGAACCATAGCCTCTTTTTTTCACTAGAAATGCTGATGAAAGGCCGGGTTCTTGTAAGAGCCTTTTATTGCTCTGAATAGTGATTAGCTAGCTGTACCGAGAGCTGTCAGGGATGAAGTTTAATGCCTGCAGAGCATTCTGGAACATGCCAGCACTAGGAAACTCCTCCTAAACAGTGAAAGAAAAAAAAGCATTCATTTTCTTCAGTTGAATAAAAACAAAATTAAGATATTATTGGCCTGAAATATCTTTTGATAGAAATTGATGAGATAATTTTGCACTGCCAGATGACTTCAGCACACTTGCCTATATTGCTCATAAATGAATCAAGTATTCCTTTAAAGGCAGGCTTTTGCAGCAGTGCATTAAAAACACATGTCTAATAGGTGCATTCATTTTAATAGGTTCATTCATTGAGCTAGCCTGATTAATTAGTGCATGTCACCATCTGGTATTTACTGAGAGCATTCATTTTTAGAATACTGAAATTGCAGGGAATATTGCACACCAATTAAGTTCCTTTTAACTGGATTATGTTAGTATACAGTATTAGTGTAGGAGGTTTTCTTTGTGCTGCAGCCAGCACGCCTCCGAGGGAACCTGTCAGCCTGAAATTTAGAACAGAGAAGTGGTCCCTTAAAATGCATAGCGGATAGAAGGAGACACCGTGCACTGTATATGCTCTCTTGGACAGATGGACAATTCCAAGAGAATCAAACATAAATTGTATAGAGACATACTGTCGAGCCTTTTTTCCTAGGTTTTGCTTGATGTTATGATGATCAAAAGAGTAGCCTGATATTCCTTGCTTTGTCTTCATCTGGTGCATAAAGCAAGTCTCAGCCAGCCTTTCCCTGCTCATTGGTTGTAATGCAATACATAACAGATACGATGGGCCACATTCAAAATAACTTTGGGGAACATTGCAGCGGGGCATTATAAAAGATCAAAGGGAAGTATTGAAAATAAGGATAGCTTTCTTTTGCTCTTGCATTACCTTTAAATTATATAATCAGTAGGTTTCAGAGTAATATTGCAACTGCCATGCTACTTTCTGGACATGCATTTCAGGTGCTTGGTAATTGGCAATTGCATTTATAACTGGTTGCAGCATCTTGCTGTCACAATTGCAGTTTGCAACTTTTTTGCTGTTTTCCAGCAAAAAGCACCCATTTGATGATTTTATGATCACACAACTGACTTAACAACTCCATGATTTGCTTAATGACCTGTTAAGCAATGACTTGCTTAACAAACATAAAGACAGTTATAGAATTGAGTCTGGTCATATGATGACTCAATTTACAACTACAATGACTTGCAATCAAAATTCTGGACTCAGTTGTGATTGTAAGTCAAGAACTACCTGTATCACTCTTTAAACAAAGGCAGAAATTCATTAAGCAAATGTTTTAAAGATTATAAGATGCCCTCCAATGAAATATTATGCAAAGCTCTTCTAGTTATGTTACAGCTCCACCTGGTGTTCAGTAAAAATGCCTGTCTTCTGTAATTAACTTGACATGTAGCATTTACACAAATTTATAGATCATTATTCCTATTAACTGTGTATTAACATGAATGAAAATTTACCCTTGTACTTTTACTGTATTTGAAAACATACCTGGATATCTATAAAACATTTATCTTACAACATAATTGAGGAACTGATTAAACTTAAACTTAGTTCCTATTTTGTCAGTAAAAAGATCAACATGAAGCCTAATGAAGTTGAGAAGATCAGCTCCTTGAGTGGCAGTCTGTATATTCACTTCTCACTGATTTTTAATATCTTTTTTATTTTCCTAGGATGAACCAGATTTGATTATGCACGCAAGACAGCATTAAATAATAAGGAATGATCTTACCATACACTGAACAATCTTTAAACATTGGGTGCTTGGGCCTCAGAAAATGTCGGCTTGCAATGCCTTCACTGAACACGTGTGGAAACCTGGTGAATGTAAAAATTGCTTCAAGCCAAAGAACTTGCATCAGCCGCCTCCAGGCCCTGAAAAAGCTCCAGTCTCAAATTCAAATATAAAAACCAATGCAATTCACAGCAACCAGCATAATAAGAATACAGGAAATTTTCGGCCACCTGTGGCAAAGAAACCCACCATCGCTGTGAAACCCACCATGGTGACAATAGATGGGCAGGGTATGTGTGGTGAGATCACCTCACAAGATCTTTGTGAGAACAAACCAGCTCTTGTAGGTTGGAATCAAAATATAACTGTTTTGAAGAAAAAGCCACTGAATAATAACAATAATAATGAAGAAGAGGAAGAAGAAGAGGTTGAAAGTTACAACCATATTCACAGATCTTTTGGAAATGATGATACAGATAAAGCTCCAAACAATAATAATGGACTCACTGATGTATTGAAGGAAATTGCTGGCTTAGATCATTCAACTTTCCTAACAAGAAATGAAATTAATTCAAGAGAAGTATTCTTGGGACGAATAAACACTTGTTATAAGAAGTCATTAGAAAGAAAGATCCCTCCAAGTTGCCTGATGGGTGGAACAAAGTCACAGAATAAGCATGTTGTATTGAGTGGAACCACTGCTGTAATAAGCAGTGAAGGTGGCCGTTTCTGCTACCCTGAATTCTCCAGTGGAGATGAAAGTGAGGATGACCTGTTTTTTGGTAGCATCCATGATGATCATGAGAGCTGGGATGAAAGTGACGAGGAGTTGCTAGCAATGGAAATTCGCATGAGGGGACAGCCACGTTTTGCTAACTTTAGGGCAAACACACTGTCACCTGTTCGATTTTGTGTTGACAAGAAATGGAATACAGTGCCTTTAAGGCATAAGTCTCTTCAGAGATTTTGTGCAGTAGACTATGATGACAGCTATGATGAAATTTTGAATGGCTATGGAGATGACCCTGTGATTCTTTTTGGACCGGAAGGTGTGCAGAGCATGATTTCATCTGATTCTATGTCCCCTGATTCTTCTCTGACTGAAGAATCTCATTCTGGAACAGCCAGTAGTTCTTCCCAAAAACTTTGCAATAGTAGAGTGTCTCCTAACAGTCCTAAAAGTAGCAGATTAATGGAAGGAGGTGATAACAGATTTTCTGATGACCAGCAAGTTAAAGTTTCGATTAAAAACACTCAAAACGCAATCCAGATTGTAGAGACCCACAAAGCCGTGCTTGCCGTTAGGCTGGAAGAAAAAGATAGCAAGACTGCTAACCCCAGTGATAAGCAAGAATGGAAAAGTTCCTTAAATATTCCAGTCCAGACAACAACTACAAATTTGATCCCTGTGGAAGAGCAAGCAAAGCCTTACAGAGTAGTAAATATGGAACAACCAGTGTGCAAACCTTACACGATAGTGGATGTATCAGCAGCCATGACACATGAAAGTATAGAGAATCGGGCAAAACACCTGGATACCAGATACATTCTGTCTAACCCAAATTCACCAGATGCCCTTAGTACAAATGCTATGTCTCATTCTGTGTCATGTGGGCAGGTAACTCCTAATCTTAAAAAATCCAACACTGCCAGATACCAGGAAGTTTGGACTTCCAGTACAAGTCCACGACAAAAAATCCCCAAAGTGGAATTAACTGCCAATGTTCCAGAGCCTTCTGTTCCTGTAAGGAGAAATATCCATAAATCTGCTCCCACTTCGCCTACATCAACACATATTTCTACAAAAACAATCCCAGTCAAGTCCCCTAACCTGTCTGAAATAAAATTCAACAGCTATAATAATGCCGGCATGCCCCCCTTCCCGATTATTATTCATGATGAGCCAACTTATGCTAGATGTTCAAAGAATGCCATCAAAGTTCCTATTGTAATAAATCCCAATGCGTACGACAACTTGGCCATCTATAAAAGCTTTTTGGGCACAAATGGAGATCTCTCGATTAAAGATAAAACCACTAGTATCATCAGCCATACATATGAAGAAATAGAAACAGGAAGCACCGTATCTGAAAATATACACAGTAGGTCCGCAGAATTACCCCAAGCGAAAGGTTCATGCAATAACACTGAGAGGAGATTGGGCTCTGTAGCTCAGAAGGTTCAGGAATTCAATAGCTGCCTTGGAAAAGGTCAGACTTCACCCAAAACTTCTTGCCGTGGCTCCCCAACAAAAGTACAAAGAACTTTTCAGGATTGTTTAGCTGGAGTAGACAATATACAGGAAATAGCTAATGACAGTCGGGAAAATGCCTGTGCAGTACTGTCACAGATTGTAGCATCAATCCAACCTCCACAATCTCCCCCAGAAGCTCCTCAGGCTGGGCCTAAGTCTTGCAGTATTGACGAACTCTACTCTCTGCCTCCTGATGCAGACCCGGACAAGAGTATCCCAGTGCGACCCAAATCACTTTTTTCAATGCAACCTCATCCTAATGGTGAAGGAATCAAATCCACAGAAGCTACATCCAAGGAAATCCCACCCAAATCCCCAGTCATGCAGCCTTCAAAGCCCATGGCAAGTTCTCCGAGTCTCAAAACCGAACAGGCTCCCCCTTTCCCACCTCCCCGGTCCACCTCGTCACCTTATCATGCCAGCAAAGTGTTGCAAAAACATTTTGGCAATTGGAGCAAACCCCTGAGCTCAGCTAGATCCACCGAGGCTGAATCCGTTTTGCATTCGGAAGGCAGGCGAGCCGTTGATGCTAAGCCGAAGCGATGGATATCGTTTAAGAGCTTCTTTCGCCGCAGAAAGACTGAAGAAGAGGAGGACAGAGAAAGAGAGAAAGGGAAACTTGTGGGCCTTGATGGAACTGTCATTCATATGCTTCCGCCACCACCTGTCGAACGACACAATTGGTTCAGTGAATCCAGAACAGATTCCAGTGAGAAACCGTCAGTTGTTTTTATGTTCAAATGTGATCAGGCAAAGTTGGAAACAAAAACCAATCAAACCAAAACTGAAGTGGAGCCGACCTTTGAAGTTATGACAGCAGAGAGGGAAGAGACCGAAAATCATCCAGAGACACCAGAAGAAAACTTAAAGAGCTCTCCCTCTTCACCTCAACTTCCAAAGGAAATTCTCAGGTAAAATTTAAACTACTAATTGGCCACTGTATTTTTTCCCTAGATACAAGCAGAAGATCGTGCCATTCCTCAATTAGGAAAAAATAAGTTTGATGGACTTTAAAGAGTAAAACAATTATTGTGGGATAAGCTTTCATATATTAGGATATTTTATCTACTTGCAAAGTTCACTCACTCACCCATCCCCCCCAAATGGGTGAATAGGCAGCAATATAATTTCAATAAACCCCATGCAATATAATTTACCAGGATATGCTTCTGCTTCAGTGACCTGCACCTTTTGTAAATAGCTGGTGTTTTGGCTCAATTTATTCTCCTAATGGAAACAAATCGATTTAGGCGTCTAAATGCAGATCAGAAAGACAATTGTCCATAGATAGAACTATTTCCAGCAAGGACTTTTGGAAATAGAGGAGAGAAAAAGAGGTTAACTTCAAAATCTGTAATTTAACTATGTTACTTTATTACAAATATGGATGATGTTTCTGGTCTACATGCAGGTGTTAAAACAGAAGTCTGGAATTTTAAAATACAGGCTTTTTAAAATTGACTTTCCTGCACATCCTTCTCAATTAGATTAGGAGTATATTTCATATATTCAGTGATGGCTGATCTACCTATAAATGCCGCTTCATTTAAAACATATTTTACAGACAAATTTCTCAAGGCTAGAAATATTAGATTGCTATTTAATGAAGTGGAGCCTTCCTGTGTCTACATACAGATTTATTGCTTGTTATCCTCAGCATTATGAGCAATGTAATGCTTTCTGAGAATGAAGACTTGACAGAACTCATACTTTGTTTTTCATATCTTCCTGAACATGCCCACATTTTTTTAAAAAAATGCTGCAAACAGCTCATAACAGGAATAAAGGAAGAAAAACATAGATAACTAGGATTATATTTAGATACAGCCCATTGTGACATATCTTCATAGGGTAAAACATTGTTTTCCTATGGTTTAAATTCCACAAGAGGCAAAGACAAAAAGGCATTAATTAATGCAAATTAAAACTGATACCTAGCAGCATCCCAGATAGCTAACTTTTACAGATAATCTTTTTTGTTTGTTTGTTTCTCCTCAAGCAGCATTAATGAACATTCATTCTTTCTGATAAATCAGTGACACCCAATCTTTAAATGTGGCTGGATGGATTTTGAATAACTCAGAAAAATCTTCACTGTTTTCACACATCCTCCTTAGGGGTAATAGGTATTTTTCAATACATCTATCAGGATCTAGAATAGCGCCTGAAATACATGATTTTACTTGGAGGATGGCAGAATTGGTTCTGTGTTGAAGGTACAGTGTAGTAATTGCCAAACATTCTGCCTAGCCACGAAACCTAGATATGTCTATCTCACAAAATCTGTGCATTGCAGTTAATTCACGGGGGGGAGAGGGGGGACCAGTCTGGCTGAGGGCAAAAGATAAATTGCGCTTTTCCAGTTTGCCAGGAGGGAAATGTTGGTTTATGGTAACAACTAGGTCATATGTTGATGTGGGTCATAAGATGTAATAAATGTGACGTTATTGGTCTAGTAGAAATGGAATACCTGCATTGTCAAAAAAAATTGGGTCTTGTTGAACAGCTTAGGCATCATTGTAATGGTGGCCCAAGAAGAGATGAATTCTAGAAGTGTACTGAGTTAGTGAGGGGAATCATATGTAACATATTCTTTTTAACCGGAGAATAATCAAAATATTGTTCCCGGTAACAACTTTATCTGTATGGTTGTTAGGAGTTGAAAAACAACTCGAATGCATAATCGGTCATCACCTAGAAGTTTCCCTGCATTAAAGGGAATATAAAGGAACTTCTGGTGCTTCTTGAGCCCTGTTTCTTTAATAGCTGTGCCTAATTCAAAGATATATATATATATATATGAGACTTTTCCAACCTCTGAATCTTTCCATTGTTTATACTTACTGTTTTGTTTGTGAGTTTAGTACATTTGACTTCTCTGTGCCAAATCATTTTGAGCGTTGCATTTTCAGATAGGATCTAAAAGAAAGAAGAATCAGAAAGACAGAAAACCAGTTTGCTTGTTGTTCCTTGACAGGCACCTAGACTTGCATCAGGACACTTACTCTTGTGCTGTGCCTAAGGCGATGGTGTGATTTTCTCTATGACCATCTCATCTTTCCGCTTTCTATTGCTGCTTTCTCTTTCATTCCACTTTACTGCTACCAAAAAAGACTGCACAAATCTTGAGCTACTTGATATTGTACCTAAAAATTTGAATGTGATTTAACTTCGCCTCCAAAATGCTGGTGCAACACAAGCTCAAACTAATAACTTGATGTTATTCCAAAACTTGGTACTGTAAAGGCTTAGGTCCAAATGAATCTATAACTACCCAAATATCCTTTATTTTACCTTTTGCATAACAGATGTCACTTCACTTGAATTCTCATAAATTCTAAGAGTACTTTGCACAAAACTGGCACTATTCTGATTATGGTACCTCTGCATCCAGCAACGATTTAGGGTGAAAACAAGTGTTTTGGGATTTACAGCTCTTGTAAATCAGCCCCTTATCTACAGTTTCCTAGTTCCCTTACATGATCAGCTGTTAGCTGTGTTGATAGCCAAACTACTAATTTACTTGTTAAATCAGCCCACATCTTTCTTCAGCCACTGTGTTAACTATCTCAAACTCTCTGTAATTTCAAAAATAATTTTTGGCGCAAGCCTTTGTAACATCCAGATAGAAATCAGTAAAATCAATCTGGCCTAGTTGCGCCCAGACCTTTAGGGCTAAACAGGAATGTTGAAGATTGACATTCTGTCCATTCCAGAACTTCAGAACATCCAGTTTGGGATTTTATTGTTTTGCATCTTGAGTGTGATACAGAATTGGCTGCATTATTTTAAAAAGAACCATGCATGATGTTTCTTTTGTTAATGCTGCTTAATGAAGGGCAGTTTATTTTATTTTTAATTATTCAGGAAAATAATAGTGACATCATCTTTTCAATAGAAATTAAGAAATACAATTCCTTTGTATGTTCTTTCCTCTTCTGCCCTTCTGCACCTATGTAGTAAAATATTTACAGTTAATTCAGATTTGTTTGGGCTGCACATGATGGGCAGCGCTGGTCTTTCAAGCTGAATAAAACACATTAGAAGATCTTGATAAAAACATAACTTTCCTTCCATTTCCTTTGTATAGTTGCACTGTAGAAGCAGGGAGCAGGATTCTGAAATTTAAGAAATACTTGATAATAGCATTTTTCCTACTTTAATTTGTTTTATTTGAAATGAGAGAATTCTGCCCTGTTGTGCAATAGGAGCTGAATAATTGCATACTTGTCTTACAACTGCGTTCTCAGAACCTCTCGTTCTTTATATATACCTGTGAACAACTAAAGTACTATGTTTTTTTCTTCCATTAGCCCAGCTCCTTTATTGGTCCAATTCCAAAACAGGCCAATTACCACAGTTTTAAATAATTCATCTTTGTTCCAGCATTCTCCAAATGAAGAATAAAAATGTGTAAGGCATGGTATTCTGTAGTAAGGAAAGGGTTAACAAAGCAAGCTTGCACTTTGCTTATGCTAGAGTTTCTACGGTGTTTTGGCACATTCCCCAGACCCACCCCTGAAGGTAAACATCAAGGTGCAGGAGGTGATATCATTCTGTGTAGACTTTGTTGCTCACTGCTTTGCACAACTTATAGCTCACCAGACCCCAGTGGAATAAATGCTTCACCAGAGTTTCGAGGCATGATTAAAAGGCTCAAGAAGGCTCTGAGAGAATTTCCTTTAATGGGTAACTGTGTGAGTGAGTATAGTGGGTGAGTTTCTCCTTTTTGTTCACCTTCTCAGTTGATGAATTTACTTTGGTAGCACATTTCTCAAAAGAGCACACAAAAGAACTAGAAACATGTCTGTTCTAAATATACTGGTATCAATCCAGGCAAATTTGTTTGCAGAGATTACTATTCCGTAACAGAAATTCTTCCTTCAAATTAAGCAACTATTAGGTGGGGTTGTTTTGAATGGAGCAGCTATAGTGGAGTTAATGAAAGCAAAGAGCAAAGTTTGTTAAACAGAAAGCATTTTCCATAGCTGCAGTTCCCAAAGTGAATTTACAACTCCACAGTTTTTAAGTTTTGAATGTGCAAAATGACTTGGGGTAACCTTTTAATGGTTTCACTTTTTGTGTGATTTATGTTTATACTGTTCTGCCGCATGTTAATAAAAATATCAACAGTGATAATAAGATGACTTTTTAACTTCACCTTTTTATCAGTACTAACCTTTGGATGACTTTATATCAACATTTTAAAATTCCTTGAATGCGGTAATGTATACGTGTGTATTGATAATGGTGTTGTGTTAGACCAAAACTGCAGAGGTACTAAGTATTGATTTTTAATATTGCAAGATGTTCAGCTGGAATCTGGAACTCTGATCAGTCGTGTTCAGTGATGGAGTCTATATTCTTTATTGTAAATCCTGTGTAATGTTTGTAAGGCACAATATTAACTCTTTTAATTGACACTCCTTTGTCTTTGTTCCACACTAAGTTTTTAAGTGTGGCATAAGTAACTACAACTACTATCATTTTTTGTATAGTTTAGAATGCTTGTCTTATGTATTTTAAAGCATTCTAGAAACTCTTTGGGGTTTTTTATTTCCTTTAATACAATTCATTAAAGATAACTGACATTTTCCAGGCAAGTGAACCATACTTTGCTTTTGTTTCAGTCAAGTGCCTGATGAGAAAACAAAACCTGTGGAAAATGTGTCCCCTCCAATTCCAACTTCTACATTTGAAAAACAGGATGTTGACAGCCCTACATTCTGCGCTCCAGAAATATTACAATTGGAAGATGAGAGAGAAGAAATGTCTGATTCTTCTGACATGAGTGCCTGCAGTGCTACCTATAGTAACTTGGGTAAGTACCTTCCCTCTGCAGAGAATATAAATTGTTGCTTGGTTATGGGCTGAGTTCACAGACTATACTAGGCCTGAACAGTAGGCAAAAACTGTTGGATTTGTTTGTTAAATATATATACACTCATAGGTTGTGATTTCCGGCTGTTCACAACAATTATGCAGTATAGCAATACAGGTTTCACAGAAAATAAAATTAAAAGCACACTTTTCCCTTTTAGAGCCGCAGATATTTCATTCTCCTCCCCTATTCTAGCCAAACAAGTGTAATTGAAATAATTGCACATTCTCCCATTCATTATCCAGTTCTTCTGCTTCCTTTCTTGCTTTCCTTTTGTTGAATTATCAGTAGTAAACTTCTTGAAGCAGGGATATTTTGTGTTCTGTAAAAGGATGCTCTACGCAATATAAGCAAACGTAATTGTGGCCATAATTAGGTTGTGTGGAGTATCATGCTCTAGTTTGAGAAGTGATTTGCTAAACCAGCTTGGCTTGCCATATGGGATTGCAGCTTCCCGAATCTCCAGTCAGCACGGCGAACAGCTTTCTTTCAGTTAATCTCGGTTCAGCAAAATACATTCTTCAAAATAGTGTCATACAAAAAAGATGGAGCTTAGCAAAAATATTGCTTTGGGGAAGACAGGATTACAAGGCATGAAAGGAATGTATAGGGGAAAAACACCCAGTTACGTGAGCCACTGAGCTTAAGGGAAGGCTTTTTCGTTTTTAAACAATATTATGGGATTCTTTCGATTCCAAATATTAGATTGTCATAGGGCATCTAATGTTTAGCTGCATACAGCTATTAGAAGGTGACATTTATAGGGTACCTTTAAGCTGTGTTCTATGTGAAGCAAATACGTTTTGCACCTTCAAAGCAATAGCACACAATAGCATATGGTAATAATTGTAACCTTACTTGATTTTCTCCCATTTGCACAGGGGTTTGTTATAAAAAGTACACTTATTTCCTGGCCAGCTACCTAACATAAAATATATGCTGGTATATACTACCTTTGTGCACACTATTGAGTCACAAAGTTGTTTTGTTATTCCGCAGGGCAATCCAGAGTAGCTATGATGCCTCCAAAGCATCCTCGGCAACTCAAGGGAGCTTTGGAGGATGCCATTGCATTTGGGGGAATATCTGATCCAGAAATGTCAGCCATCCTAAACCCCACCCCACCTCCACTGCCAAAGAAGACCATTTTGAGAGCACACACCGAACCACTCCCCAAAGACCTCCAGAAGCAGGCTGTTGAAAGTAGCCCCTGTGTGATGGCTAACCCCACCTACGACATCGACACTAACTGGGAAGGAAGCAGCATCTGCTCTTCTGTCAGCTCAGAATTCAAGGCAGCGGACAATGAATCTGGGGATTCTCTGGGCAGACCCCCAGAAAAGGCAGTTTCACCTAGCACCAACCTCGCTGCTATCCGTATGAAGAAGAGCGGTTCCCCTAGCACAGAGTCTGTCTCCGTTAGGCCTGTCACCCACAGTAAGCCGGGCAAAGCTGGCCCTAAGCCACATCAGCAAGCGCTTTATAGAGGAATTGAAAACAGGGAAGAGGTGGTGAGCAAGATCAGAAGCCTTCACACAGATTCACTGAAGAAACTGTCTGGCAGGTGTGAGGATATTTTCATGGCCGGACAGAAAAATCAACTTCGATTTGGGGTAGACAGTTGGTCGGACTTCAGATTAACCAGTGACAGGCCGTGCTGCGAGGCAGGAGATGCTGTATACTACCCTGCTTCTTACGCGAAAGATTCGCTCAACAATTATGCAGTCAAGGTAATGAAGGTTTTTCAGTAAGAGCCATTTTGCTGCTAGGTTTAATTGCTTTTGTTAGCATTCTATATAAGTTCATGCAATGAAAGCCCTTTTTATAACTCTATAGTACGTTTACTGGATGTTCCCAGGAAAAGTCTTCCAGTAGGCCTTCAAAAAAGCATTCCTTCTTTTTAACATGAATAATTTGAGATTGAATCTCTAGCTGCTTGGTTTATTTCTGTTGCAAATTATTTACTTGTAATAGAAATAGTTTTCTTGTTACAGTTTGGTTTCTACAAAACCAAATGTGTGAGAGAGGGATAGATTGTAACAGATAAAAGATGTTGCCTTAATATCCTCAGCTTCAGCAAATACAATACATTGCTGAATTAGGTCTCCTTTTCTGCTCATGCCTCTTCAGAATCCTGTATGGGTCACTTTTCAATAGCTGCTTTTCTTTATTTCTAAAGAGGCACAGGTGGATGTGTTTTCAAATAACAGTTTTTCATTAACTTACTTGAAACCTAGTTTTCTCTTCATTCTTTTTTTTCCCCCTGCCTTCAGATTTGTAAAAGCAGAGCTAAAGAATCCCAGCAGTATTACCACAGTTTGGCCATTCGCCAGAGCTTGGCTATTCATTTCAACATACAGCAGGATTGTGGCCACTTTCTGGCAGATGTCCCTGTTCGCCTCCTTCCATGGGAAGATCCCAATTCCCCTGAAGAAGAGGCTGAGGCTGAACAGAAGAGCGAAGAGAGCATCTCCGCAGTGGAGGTTTCCCAGAACAGTCCAGGTCTCCAAAGCACCATCTGTAAACAGCGCAGCAGAGTTGTTGTTATTACCCGGGAGGTTCCCTACCTATCGGTGGCCGATTTTGTGCGAAATTCTGTGGAGCACCACTCGAGATGTCCTGATGTGTATGAAAGACAAGTGTGTCTACTCCTCTTACAGTTGTGTTCTGGTCTAGAGCACCTAAAACCCTACCACATCACCCACTGTGATCTGCGTTTGGAGAATCTTTTGCTGGTAGGCTGTCGGGCAAGCAAAAGCTCTCTGAACCCTGACTCGGCAGAGCTCAACCCAGGTGCTGCTTGTCTCACCCGTCTCTTGGTGAGCAATTTCTCCCAAGCCAAGCAGAAGAGTCATATGGTGGATCCAGAGATTCTGAAGGACCAGTCTCGCCTCGCCCCAGAAATCATCACCGCCATGCAGTATAAGAAATGTGACGAGTTCCAGACTGGCATCCTCATTTATGAAATGTTGCACCTGCCCAACCCTTTTGATGAGAATCCAGAGCTGAAAGAGAAGGAATACACTTGGGCTGACCTACCCCAAGTCCCTCGCCGGTCACTTTATTCCCTGGGACTTCAGAAGCTGGCTGCTTGCCTGCTGAACCCCAACCCATCTGAAAGGATCCTGATATCTGAGGCCAAGGGTGTCCTCCAGTGTTTGCTTTGGGGCCCTCGGGAGGATTTGTTTCAGAGTCTCAGGGCCTCTGCTAAACCTTCCCAAAGAGAAGCCGTGCTCCAAAACTGGCTGGACATCAAACGGACCCTGTTGATGATTAAGTTTGCCGAAAAGTCTTTGGACAAGGAATGTCAAGTCAGCCTTGAAGACTGGCTTTGTTGTCAGTATCTGGCTTTTGCCACTATAGACTCACTCAGTCGCATCGTGAAAATTATGCGGCCGCATTAGTTTCCTAGGAGTGGTTGCTTCACTTGGATAAGCCCAGAGCCTTTCCTTGGCACAAGTTTCATGCTGTGTTAACGTTCTTATCTAGGTCTTGAGGTCACCAGCACTGAGCAAACAGATTTCGACAGGAAGTTCCATTTCCAGCCTTGCACGCATGGGAGAGGTCTGAAAACCATCACACCGCAGTGAGTGGGTGAGGAAGGTGAAAATGTAGTAAGGAAGCCATTATTTCTGATATGCCTGTTTTGAAGCGAAGTTGCTATAATGACTGCAAACAGAAATGAGTCAGCCCCTATCGAGCACTAAAAACTAAAAAAACCAAAAAAAATAATGACCTCCCAACCCTGTGATCTTTGTCAGCTTATCCCTGTTTTTAATCCAACTTACTAGACACATTTCCTGGATGCATAGCTTTTACAGGATTTGGGGGGAGAGTCACATTCTTGATCTAGGAGAGAGAGCAGTGATTTAATGGTACTTGCTGCCTCCTGAATAATTACCTTTATAACAGAAAAAAAACAGGTTATAGAATTGAGGGGTGGCAGAATAGGGGTAGTTTTTTTACCCACTCAGACGTAGAGCCTGCCCACACCCTTTGTAAATGTGTTTTTCCTTTATTTTGTCATTTTTCATCTGATTTTTCAGACTTAGTCATCATCTCAATATACTGCCAATTACTTCCTTTAACGCAGTGAGCAGAATCAGTTAAGGTTATTGATGAAGTGTTAACTCATAACGTTGCTAACTACATGAAGCATAAGCACCTAAGCCCATACATTTTTTTAAAAAAAAAACCCTGTCCTCATATTCTTACTCAGTTGATGTATATATTAAATCAAGGGCTGATTACTTTTTGAAAAGTATTCAGTATTGCACTGCCATTTTCCAAAGCAAAGTGAAAGCCAGCTACGCTGACAGCTGCAAACGCTTCTTAAAACTCAGCTTGGTGTGATAAGCAAGCTGCACAGCTAGAGATGGGCTTTCCCCAGGCACGGTTCTGGGGAGGAAGTGATTACAGGAGCAAATATACTGTGTGAATTCTCTGAGAGCTGATTGTTTGGGCAGACACAATTAAATTGTGCCCCATTGCAGCTTCCTTTGGAATTGACCTCACAGCTGCTATCGGGATTTTTAAGTGATTACTTTTGAAATTCCAAAATTGTAGAGACATCACTGACTCTTATTGATTCTGAAGATGTTTTTGCACATGAAGGTGACTTTAATGGAAAAATATAACTGCCTGAAGGTGTGTTTGGCCTTTAGACCTCTCTTCTGACTTCCTTAACCCATCACACTGACCTTTTCCTGCAGTTTAATCCCACTCTATCTAATCTGTCTGCTCAGTATGGTTAGGGTTGCTTGAATTAGCTCTGAAATGGTGGAGCTGCTGACCAGTATTGAATTCCCAAATCTGGGGATGTTTGTTGGAACATGGATAGCTCTTGTGTTGAGCCTGTGCTTATCTTCTGGATATATGTGCAATTTTTGGATATATTATATGAAAAACTGTTTATGTTTACGTTACATGACAGATGTAACCATATATTAGACCTGCCTTCCCTTTTTTTTCTTACAAGGCACATAGATGCACAAAGTTGTGTGTTGTTTCTATGGATTGGTGTTTCTTTATTGTTAAACTGTGACTGATGTGTTTACTTCAGCCTTTGAGACAAACAGCCACTTTGAACAGAATATTGCAGGTTTGGACCAGAAATTAAAACATAATCTGCAGAAACTACATCTGACTCTAGGCTCATGGTGTTAGAAAGTGGCCCATCACTTAATGGAAACTGAGTCCAGCATAGAATATGTAGTGGCTTCTTAAAACTTTTGAAATCTTCCTGCTTCCATATCCATAGGCAATTGGAGAAAGTTTGACTAGAGTTCAGGACAGTGTATATGAATGTTTTATTACTTTAAAACAAAAGTGCAAAAATAGTTTGCATACAAAGAGCCAGACACACTGGCCCCTCGAATGTGAGCCGTGGAGGTTGTACAATTGACGACCAAAACAAGCATTTGCTATGAGTGCACTCTACAGAACTGTTCAGAGAGTCAAAAACATGAATTGTGGTTCTGCTTGAAATAGTGAAAAGTAACTATATACCCCTTTGTGAGGGTACTTTGCTCACAGTCTGCTGCCTGCTTTTCATGCTGGGCTTTTTCTCCAATTAGGTGTGCTTCAATTGATATCTGCATGTAACATAAACATCCATTTAGCTTACTTACTTACCACCATGGTAGGCTATATTCCATAAGGCCACTTTACATAGTTTTGTGTGAAAGATAATTGCATTGTGTCCCTCCCATGTTGATATAAACTGTAAAATAGACTATTGAATGTTTTAAGATGGCTGTGCACATTTTATGCAGCAGCTCCCAAATGTCATATGTTATCTTTCAGATATTATTAGCATTGTGCACTCCATTCGAGCAGAGGTATGTGCTCACTGCCATCTCCTTTTTATATAATACTAGCTGAACCTTGAAAATGAAGGATAATAATGTGATTGCTCTGTATCAGTGAGTATTTTTTTTGTGGGGGGGGGGATGCAGAGGGATACATAAAGATACAGTATAGCTGAAGCTTCCAGGTGTGATGGACCCTGGGATTACTTTTGCAAATAATCCTATTGAAACCCAATTGCCATATAGATATTCTGCCAAGAGATTAGCCAGTCCAAACTGATAGACAAATAATAAACTGGAACAAAATGTTGCAGTATCATTTCTGAACAAAATGAAATTCTTCCTTGTTGTCTAATTAGCTGCTGTGATCATAAAGCATTAACTTAAAATATAAACATTACTACATTTTAAATACATGTGTTAATGGAGTGCAAGGGATTGTAATTTTCAAATAGCCATACTGACTGTAAATAGATAATTTTCTTACATAGATATATTTACAAATTGTAAATATATTTTTTGGAAAGCTGCTGCTAAATTTATATTAGCACAATATCTACAATTTTCCTAATGGCAAACAAAAATTATCTGAAATTCACTTTAAATTTAAATATTTGAATACATCTTTCCTGGAACATTTAGTGTCATTAATCTTTTCTGGGGTGGCAGCCTGGATCAGTAATTAAGTGTGCTAAGAACATTGCCTTGTCACAGATATAAAGCTATTAAGAGGAGATTTCTGTGGTGGGAATTGCCCAGTGCCAGCTACCAATTTAATAATAAAGCCTATATTAAAAAAGAGAATAAAATTACCTGTTCTGCATGAAACTAACAATCTCACCAAAAGAGCACTATTTGCTTATGTAAATTCAAGAGTTCTATTGACATTATTGAAAAAGAAAATGAAATTGTAACATCTTCCAAATCTGCAGTTTCTATAGAATAAAGCAAGCCACGGTTTTAAAACTGTCTAGACAAAATAAAACTGGGGAAATTCCTACATTTTTCAGATGACAACCAATAGGGAAGACAACTGCTGCTAATGCTGTTAAAAATAGATCGGCCCTTTATCTAACCTTACACGGTGCTATAAAACCTAAAATGTAGAGAGCAGCAAACTTCAGAGAAGTGGCAAAATATTCAGAAGATGCTGGAAGGAGAAATCTTGGAGTCATTAACACCTTTTCAATATGGGTCCCCTTCCCGGAATGTGTTAAATGAGGCTTACAGCCTGCCTCAAGTGATTAATTATATAGCAATTTTTATGTCTCCCAACCTGTTGCCCTGTTCAAGCCTTCCCCAACTTAATACCAAATCCCAGAATCCGTGGCCAGCATGATATTAAGTTTAGTTTGTTAGCCCGATGAAGAAATGGCTCTCAGGAAAGGCCATTGAGAGCATAATTGTTTCTAAATAGCTTTGTTCTTAGCTGCTGTCTAGCGTTCTGGTGCTCCCCAAAACACCTTCCTTCTAAAGGAACAGACGTAGCCCTGGAAGTATGGAAATAGAGAACTGAATGTGGAAATAGTAGCATCTCTTCCATTTAGAATCCTCTTCCCCCGCCCTATATAAATACTCTGTCTTTAAATAGCACACATTTTTGCAAGAATGGTTTACACATTTAAAGAACAGGTAGTCCTGGACCACAATTGAGCCCCAAATTTATGTTGTTAAACAAGACAGCTATTAAGTGAATCGATAGTTAATAAATTAGTAACCCGGTTGTTAAGTGAATCTGGCTTCCCCATCGACTTTACTTGTCAGAAGGTTGCAAAAGGGGATGATCACATAATTTTGGGACACAGCAACATTCATAAGAAAGAATCAAAGACTACAGCAAGGGAACTTCTGATTAATATTCATTATATATTCAAGATATTGCTATACCAGCCTAATAAAACAGCCAGGCCTCTGTCCAGTTGCATCAGAGTAGTATAATTTAACGTTTGGTAAAAGCCCGGGGAGAGCCAATTTGGTCGAGTGGTTAAAAGCATCAGGTAAGAAATTGGGAGACTGTGAGTTCTAGTCCCGTTTAGGCATAAAGTCAACGGAGTGACCTTGGGCCAGTCATTCTCGGTCCTAGGAAGGGGGCAGTAGCAAACAGCGCCTGGAAAACCTTGCCAAGAAAACTGACCGGACTTGTCCAGGCAAGTCCCTGAAACACAATTGAATGAAGGGGGAGGGAAGCGTGGGAGGGAAATTGCCTTGTTTGTCCCATTGTACAAATGAATGTCCTTAGAAGTGCGTTGTGAATCCCCTAATCTGTGATTTGGCTGGTCTGAGCTACACTTAACTATTTGTAGGATTGCCATCCCTATACCCAGGAACTTCATTGAAAACATTTAATTCCTAATGACATTCTACCCTAACATTTCCCTTCCCGTCCAACTTTTTGTTGGAAAGCCGTTTGCTACAATGCTTGAAGCAAGGTAGAACAGATGGAGGTTGGGAAAAATGCTTGTTCCAGAGTGCTTCCTTTAGCTTTGCACCGATGCTGGCTTCCAGTTCCTTGACTGTTCCTCCAGTCCTGGAATTAAGAAAGTTTGATATATTTTTAATAATGGAAGGAAATTGTCAAGTGTCTATATTTTTATAAATGAATTCTACTGAACTAACAAGCATAATCCAACTGGTTTTTATGCTAAGTATTATATATTTGAATATATGTTTCTTGAATTTTAAAAATTCACATAGTAGGCCTCTCTTTCCAGGTGTTTGGAATAGGCGTCTCCAGAATCCATCTGAACCTTCCTTAACCTGATGCTCAGAGGTGCTGGAGCTGCCGGCTGGGGAATCTGCAATTTGTAGTCCCAACCAAGCTGGAGGCCTCAGGCTGGGGAAGGTCTACTCCAGAGGAAAACCCTCTGCCAGCCTATAGTTTAGTACATATTGTTACTGACGCAGGTGGGCCTTTTCCAAAATGATGTTTCCAATGTACCATTTGTTGACTTGAATTCAGACTTAGAAAGGTTTTTATCCTGAGGTGGTTCTCTGCGTGTGATTTTTTTTTTTTAAAAAAAGATTTAATTATGTTGAGCAGTATGTGGAAAGATCTGTTTTACTTTTTATTGGGAAGACAAAGTATTTTAAGTCAAAAATTCCTATTCAAATACAGTTTTATATGGTATTTCTTTTCCAGTGCCTCGAGGTACTGGGGAAGGCGGGGGGCGGGGGGGTCTGTACCCCTTCAGCAAACCATTGTATTTGGAGTTCACTGCATTGCTCTGTCGGGTGCTTCATCATAATTTATATTTATCCATTCTTATAGCTATCTTATACTGTTCTTGTGTTCAGACGGCAGTTACACTTTGCTGTGGTACTTTGCAGTGTACTCTGTGACATACATGTTATTATGTAAATAAACCAGTTTTATTACACTGAAAAATCTAGGCATGGCATTCCTTTCATTTTACCTTGATGATTCTAATATAAAGGAATTTAAATCCCTGTGCAAAGCTGTCTTCTTTTAAGGATTCCTCAGTAAAAGCTATTAAGAACTTTTCATATCCCATTTCTTCAATCCAAATGTCCTTTATGTGATAGAACCCTTACTGAAAAAAAGCCTCTTGCTTGCATATACAGGTGGTCCTTGTTCAGCAGCTACAAATTGGGACCAGCAACTCGGTTGTTAAATGAAGCAGTCACTAAGTGAAACGGCAACTGTATTTATAATCATTTACTTTACAGACCTGTGAAGTTGTAAATGTGAGGATTGGTTGCAAAGTTACTTTATTATCACTATCATAACTGCAAATGGCCACTAAAGGAAAACTACCTGTACATTATAACTAATGTCCAGTGATTAATATGTTGCTCCAGGCCTGAGAGGAAGGCCTCTCATCCTCTGTGGCATTCATTGAATATCTCACTCTTGACTCACGTAGTTTATGGGTGGGGAGGTGCTTTTCCTGTGGGGCGGAAATAAGAAATTCCCATCAATGCTGCGTTTTAAGTCCCAAAGAAATGGCCAGATAGAAGAACAAAAACTATAGTATGCTTATTTATTTCCATCTTTCCCCACCCAGAAAACATGCAGCGAAAGAAAGACGTAGATCATTTATTTTTTAAATCCTTTCTCAGTTATGCACCAAATGGCATTTTTAGATCATTCAACTTTTCAACTTTGTTAGACGGCTTTAAAGTGGGACAGGGAGGGGAGAGATTGAGAGACAAGACAACTGGAAATCCCAGGTGTTTGCAGGGAGTGGACGGCTAAATCTGACTTGCCGGGATCAATAGAATAGAATAGAATTCTTTATTGGCTAAGTGTGATTGGACACACAAGGAATTTGTCTTGGTGCAAGGCAGAAGTTCATTATTTTTATTCTAAACTCTGGGTTGTGTTTTTTTTAAAGGCATCTGGCTACCAGCTGAAGTTGTTGGTGGGGGGGGCAGGGGCGGTGTTGTTGTCTTGTGTGTTGCAATGATTTTTATTTTGAGCAAACAAAGTTTTGGGAAGAATCCTCAGCCCACTTTCGATCTGGCCCTTCCAAACGTAACGGACCCGAGTGGTGCATGTTTCTTGCAGAGAATTTTCCCAGCATCTCGCAGCTACGAAACCTCCCTGGGAAATGCTAAAATCTGTGGAATAAGAACCCAGTCAAGCACATCAGATTTAAAGGATGAGGCTCCCCTGTTCCCCATAGCAATGCAGCATCTCTTCTCATTTTTGACATATCTAGGTTGCGCCTGTTTTTGATCCACTGGGCGAGATTTTAAACTTAGCTTTGTTGGTTCGCTTTTTTTTTTCCCTGAGAGAAAGAAGAAAAATAACCCTGAAGCAAAAAGAAAGTAATCGTGCTGGCTGGGGAATTCTGGGAGTTGAATCTTAAAAGTTGCCAAATTTGAGAAATACTGCACTGTTATAAAATGCAAGAGAGGATCATAATATGCTGCCCAAATTCAGGAGGGCGTAATTGTAACTTCATCTCCAATTAGTATGAGTTGTTTTCATGTTTTCTATTTCTACCTGTTGAAAAGAAAAGGCAACTCATTCAAACCATAGTCCAACCCATAGTTAGGCAAGATTTCTTTTATGTGTTTAGCTGCATAGAAATATAGCTGCTGTTGTAATTTGCTTTGCTTTTAAAATTCACGGTCCTTCCAAATGTATTGACTGGGTGCCATCTAGGGGACACAGAAGGAAAAATCTCTGCCCCACAACACACTTTTCCTTCCCCTGTTTTGGTGTGAACTTTTATTTAATAGAAATACGCTTTCCCCAGTTACTACCTTGTTAACTTGCTCAATTTAACTTTGTTTCTGTTGTAAATCTTTATTGCAGACATTTGTTTTGTTTTCCTTTGAGAGGTTTGGTTTTTGTTCTATATTTTTAACTGCAACCTCCTGCCCTTCCTTACCCATTTCTCCACACATTGATGGAGTACTGAAACATTGCAAATTGCAAACAGCTTTGAAGTCTTTGAAGGTCCATTCCTACAGAAAGAACTACCCTTTTTTTTTCCGGCATAGGTATACAGTAGTTGAAAATACCTCCATTCTTTAAAATATTTAATTCAGGGTCCTTATAACCCAGCAGATATTTTTCAAAGAATGCATCTGCTTTGACTTCTGGTTTGCTTGTAATATGGTAAATGATATTAAGACAGCCTAAGATCCAAGCTTTAAATCTTATAGTATTGACTCATAACATATGTTTGTTTCCTTAGAAAAGTAGGTCAAGCAGTTAAAGGTATAACTAATGGGAAGACTCCCAACAGGAGACTTTTCCTGTTTTTATATTTTAACTTGTCAACATCATGCACAGCAGTCTGAATTGCTTCATACAAGCTATACTTCAAATTCTGCCTCTCCATTCTTGACAGAAGAGTACATCCTATTCCTTTTTTGTTTAAATGTCAGCTTCCTCTTCGCAGTAATCAGATTATCCTATAATCACTTGCTCAAATCTGTCAGAAGTAATTAAAACACAGACTATACACTATATGCCCCCCACACATACCTTTCCTGTTTATAAATCATTTTGATTCCTGAAATTCAAATTGAAATAAACAGAGATGAAATTATCCAGTGAATAAATGTTAAATCTGGAAGCAGAATTTGTGGGAAGCAACATGCATTTCCAATGGAAGCTGTGAAGGTAAAATGTTCTCTCTCTGGTTTTGTTAAGCCCTATTTTCCTGAATAAAAGAAACCATGGTTACTATGCTATAAATCCCATGGGTGATTGGGAATCAGATCTAAAGCCAGACTGTATTTGGAAGGTGGTAAGCTGTAGCAGGTACCCCCTGGCGCTCTCGGCAGCTTTTGATGCCATCAGTCAGGTAACCTGCTGAACTGGTTTTGCAAGTGGGATAAAGCATTGCACTGGTTTCACTTTTACCGCGGGGGCAGTTTCAGGAAATTTGCAAGGGTTCTGTTTAACCCCCTGACACTTGAGTTCAGCCATCCTAGCAAGAGAGCCCTCTCAATTCAACACCCGCATGTTCCAATAGCTAAATGGAAATCCAGAGGGAACTGCAAGGTTGAACACCAGTTAACAGGGCTAACCAGCCAGAAAAACCTGTTTCCGTGCAACTATTTGACCTCTGTGGCAAATCAGAAAGTGGGTTTGAAGAATCTTAAATCAGCTCCAATAGGGTGGAGTTGTTTACTTTCCCCTTTGCATCCAAAATCTTAGAATTTGTTTTAATACCAAAGAAGAAGATTTAAGCAATTCTTGGACCTTTTTTTTTTTTACAGAAAACCTTATCCATTTGCCACCCAGGACATTTCACTTGGCAGATCTCTGCTGCTGAGGTCTGTTGTGCCTTGCCTCTTCATGATAAATGTTAATTTACATGACCTGGTTGTTAATATATATATTACCAAACTTAAAACATATATATATATATATATATATATATATATATTAATATATATATTCTTCCTTTCCGCTACGAAGCTTCTTTTCCTGTACAACATTACATTTAAACAGATTGTGTTGTATTCAGGAAATAATCTCATCCAAGTGCAGGAATGGGATTATCCCCTTGAAGATATTTTAGATGCAGTCAAGCCCCTTGAAAAAAACAAACAAAAATGAAACACCAAGGGAATCTTGGCATCCCATGCCGTGAACCTTGGCAGGGGAGGGGGAAATAGTCTTTTTCCAGTTTATCGTTGCCATCTCCTGAGATGGCAACATCAGTTTGGAGCTAGCCTTCTCCAGGCAACCCTTTCCAATAGGGCTGAAGACAAGAATTCTCTCAAATTCTTAACGAAAATAAAATTTCCCCTCTTGTGCTGTATTCTTTTCATTACACAAAGATCGTTTCAGCAAGCGGCACCCTCACAAAATCTCTGCATCTGTCTAAGGACCACTATAAAAATAGCCTGTATTCTTTTTTTTTACACCAAACATTCCATTCATGAGCTTCAAAAGGGGCAGTTTGAATAAAAAAAAGCTGTCATTTATATCCACGGCTATTGGAATACAAATTGAGTCATGAAAACATAGGATTTTGTCACCATGACTTTAGGTATAATCAAATCCATCCTTTCTTTTTGGGAGCCTTACATCGCAGCCATTTGTGTTCCATGGAGTGTCTGTAGTCAAGTTTACATTTCCAGACCAAATCGCAAGCCGAGTTTGCCCAGGGCATGGAAACCACCTGTTAAGTTTTCTCAAAGGTGCTTTTTTTTCAAGAGGCAACCGGATGTTCTGGTTTTTCTTTGGAGAAGTTTTCCCTTCTCATCCAAGGAGCTTCACTTAACCAGGTTTGCTGCCTAAGATACCATTCCTGAGTTGACATCTTATGCTTGGTTGGTGTGGCAATAAGCCTGGTTTGTAAGTTCGGGCCGTGTCTCCTGACGGCTTGTGATTTGGATAGGCAGCAAGCGGGCAGATTTTTATTTCCACTTTCCAAGGAAAACAGTTGTTGCATTTTCTGCCGCAAGAAGGGTGAGATGGGGAGCCCCCGTTCGGAGACGGTGCAGCGGAGTAGGGAAAAATTATTATTTCAAAACAGATTTTCAATCTTAGGAGGGGAGGGGTGAACTCCACCTCCCAGAATTCCCTAACCTGCTTGTTGAAGAATACTGGGAGTTGGGAATCCATTGAAGTGGCCAAGGTTGAAAGAGTTGTTAAAATGATTTTTTTTAAAAAATCACTGCTGCCCTCTCCTCCACAACACAACCCAGATAAGGATGCTGCCCTTCGCAACACTCCCCAGGGAATGACACCCCACCCCCCCAAAAAAAAATTCACCTCAAACCCCATTCCAGCTTGGAATGCTAAGCTTTGCAAGACCCACTTATTCCTCCGGACTACAATTCCCAACAGCCCTTCGCGGCCCGGCGGCGTCTCCGCATCACGTGGGGAAATGTAAAGCGGGGACTCCGTCACGTGACGCGGCCGTCGGCCAAGT